ATAAAAAATATTTAAAAAAAAAAATGAATAAATACTTAAACACGGATTGTAGTGATCCGTGTTTATGTAACACGGATTATGACAATCCGTGTGCATTTAAACACGTATTTTCAAAATTCGTGTTCTGCTTATTTAATTAGCTTAATTACGAGATTAAGTGAACACGGATTTTGGTAATCCGTGTTCCGTTCGTAATTAAGGGAACACGGATTTTGGTGATACGTGTTCGTTGTAAAATTACAGTTACACGGATTTTCAGAATCCGTATTTCTTTAAAACACGGATTGTGAGAATCCGTCGGTTTTATTTTTGTCCACAATTTTTTTTTTGTTTTATTTTATTCCACTTATTTTTTATTTTTTTTAAATAAATAAATGATTCTATTGTGGGGCTTCACGAGAGTGGTGTTTATTTTTAACATTTAAACTTTAAAGGACAAAAACAAAACAACCGAATGGTACCGACGGCACTGTAGTCGTGCCCAACCAAATTTGTAGTGTCAGAAGCTTTCTCCGCGCGCTCTGTGAAACCTAAAACACAAACCCAGTCTTCCAACATCTGCCAAAATTCGAATACACATATTAGAGGGTATAAAAGGGTTAGTGTGTGTGGTGACATCGAGCTTGTAAACCATGGAAGTTCCGGAGTTGCAGGTGCGTAGGAAGGTAATGAAGGCGATAAAGACGAGGAGGTCATACTGGGAGCAGACGTACAGCGTCGAAATCGACAAAGCTTCTTTCCGGGAAGTTATTTCCGCTCTCAAGAAATGCTCGTATTCGAATTTTGCCGACGATGGTTAGTGTGATTACGGCCATTTCTTCGTGGGTTACGGGTTGATTTTGCAGCCGTGGTTTCATTTTCTGATAAAGACTCTGTTTTTTTAGCAGATTTCCGAGTAATGGGGATCGAGGTAATGGAGGGAGCGTGTCAGCTGGTGGCAGAGAGGTTCAGAAATTGCGTGTTCGAGAGACTGTTCAGGGAGGGGCAAGACGAACTTTGTCGTGCGCTTGTGGATGTGAAGGAGCTGTGTGAGGCTCTGGACGACGATAGCCGTGATTGGCTGGCGAGGGCCAGGCTCGAACGTGACGAGTCGTCACTTTTACTGGCCGAGTCCTTGGACAGATGGAGACATGTCTTTGACTCGAAATTCTTGCCCTGGATTCATAGCCCAGAAAAGGTCTACCAGCTGAGGAAGTTCCAAGGTCTTGGGTTGAGGCTCAGAAGCAGCAGCTGACGACCATCTCCCCAACAAAGCACAAAAACATTACGAGTTTACTGGAGACAGTAAAGCTCATGATGTTTAAATTATTCAATAGGACCTTGATGGTCAGCCCATCTCATGTCAGGGAGGTGCGCTTTCGAAATGATGTTGACTTGTATGATTTACATAACTTTCGAAATGATTTTTATTTTTCTTTTCGTAATTTTGTGTGTCGATGTAAAGGTTGTGAGCAGAATGAGTGATGTTCCGCTTGTTGAGTTGTCCTCTTCCACTGGTTATTTAAAAAAAGAAGCCTGCCGCCTGACGAAGAAGAGGCTGGTGGGCCTCGACAGCACGATCGATGGAATCTTTGAAGCTTTAGCAGCCTCCTGCACGAATTCGAGCCAAGCAGGGGCCAGACCCAGGGGTTTATTCCTCCTTGTGGGCCGAAGTGGGTCTGGCGTCACAGAGATTGCCAAGGCCGTTGCGCAACATTGGTATGGAGACGAGAGCAGGCTTGTGGAGATTGAGATGTGCAAGTATTACGATGGAAACCCCTTTGGAAATGCAGCAAGGGATCCCGAGTCATGGCCAAGGCACTGGATTGCTCTGTTTTGCTTCCTATAATATAAACCATTAGTATTAGTATGCATGGATTCATTTGGATTTACCTCGCCATCTTTGTGTGTTTTTGTAGAACCAAGGCAAACCTCGAGCTTTTCTTGAGCCATCTCTCGGAGGTGGTGAGGAAACGGCCCTATTCGGTGATTCTTCTGGATCGAATATATAGAGCGTGCTTTTGTATTAAGGGTCTACTCCAAGTTTTACGTGGTGATGGACCAAATGAATCCTCCGGAGTTGATTTTTCCAAGTGTATTATTTTCTTGGCAGCAAGACGGGGGCGTGCTGGGCCTGAGCTTACTGCGAGCTGTACATGCTTTGGTGAAAGACCACAACTCGAGGAGGCATTCGAGCGCGATCCAGCAGGATTCGAGAGGGCCCACGACTGTTTGCCGAAAATTTTGGAAGATGCTCTGTCCATGGTATGTACAAATTTGTTTATCTCTTTTATTCTTACATGCATTGTAATCGACTTATATTTGCAGGGAAGACATTTAATTGGGTCCGAGCTGTTTGATTCTATGGTGGTTAGAGCTTTTGCTGTGGATGTTAGGCACAATGAGAAGGCTGTTTGTAGAGTGCTTCTTAGAGAGATGGTTAGAGAAGTTGGTGAGGGAAGGATTCTCGCGCATATCTCAGATGCTGCTTTGAACGCCATTCTTTGGAATTCACGTGCTAGTTTCGTAAGTAGACTGCTGTGCTATGATTTCATTTTCTATTGTTGATCTGTTTTCATTCAGTCTATTATTTTGCTATGCAATAGTCGTTATCAACTCCTGGAAAGGCTTTGAAAGCAATGTTGGTTGAGGAAGTCCGGCCACAGTTGGTGGCAGCCAGAGGTTGTTATAATAGCAATGTTATTATATATATCGACACCCTGGTTGGAACCAGTGAGCTGTCTTTCAGATTTGAAAAGAAGAAGCGAGACCTAGCCGATGCCTACTTCAAGCACAAGGACGGGACATTTGGCAGCGTGGTGGCCAATTTGGGGCTAAAACTGCAGTCGGCCTGCAATCTGTTTGAGTTGCACAAACGGATTATGTATCATTTGAGTCCAACCAAAGGAGACAATGTACAGTTGGGGAGGTCCCTACTGTACATGTGCAAGTATCTCTCAAATTTTTCTCCTTTGTCTCCGAGCTTGGAGGTAATTATTCTAATTTCAACTTTATTTGCATTTTTTTTTTTATATATATACTCAGCTTCACGCACGGCCATTCATAGGAGGTAGTAACAACAAGAGGAATAACAGTGACAACATCTCATATGGGTGAAGAGAAGTTGAAGGAGGATATAATAGTGATGAGGAGTTTCTTAGCAAAAGCCGATACAAGTCCTGCTGAAGCAGTTGCCCGCGTTATAATCGATGCCTTATCCAAGATAATTGATTCTCCACTGGAAGATTATTTCCCTCCCATTTCGAGATATCACCTAATTTTGTGCCCGCACGCTTATGATGCTAAGAGGCAACTGATTTTATGTCTGAGTGAATCCCTCAAGTCGAATTTCACGCACGTGAATCTAAGAAATAACACGAGCAACGGCCATCAAATCAAGAAATTGCTGATGGAGTTTGTGAAGGAGAGGTTTTTTGCTGTTTTCATGCTTGATGGAGTTGAGGATTCAGATGATGTCCTCTACAGGAGCCTTCTTGAGATTCTTGATAAGGGTGAACTCGTTGATGACGACAGTGGTCAACCCGTTGACTTCCGGAGAGCTATCTTTATCCTCACGTCAGAGGCTGCCAATAGGCAGGCAATTGCTGGCTTCTTTGATTCTCCACCTCCTGATGAGGATACTGATACTAATCTGGTAGTGAAGTGATGTGAAGTTTCGTATGAAGTAGTTACAATTTGGTAATTGTGCTCATCATCAATTAACTCACTCTCTGCTTGGCAGAAAAATACGAAACGAGGTCGATCTGAGCTGCTTCCGTGGGTTGCGATGAATAGGGAACCTCCAGAGAAGGTAATTAAGATTTCCATATTTGCATCATGCTATTAATAATCTCAATAATCTCGACAATCTCTCTCTCTCTCTCAAACTCAATTGTCTGCTTGACAGAGACGTAAAGTGGAGTCGCTTGCCCGGGTTGAAATAGTTTCCCACCGTGTTAAGGTAAAAAAATATGTAATGGTTGGTCTTGAAAGATAATAGCTATAGCCTATATGCAGAGACACTTGAATTTTTGAACTCATCATGCTAACTTAATTTTTTTTTCATTTTTGTGGCATGGCAGGAGGTGAAAAGATTTAGGACGGAATTGCTTAACCGGGTGGGTGAAATAATTCTTTTTAACCCGACAAGTTCACGCGAGCAAGGACACATCCGCAGGCTTTGTAAATGCAACAGCTTCATCAAATGCTCCACAACTAATGCTGTATCGGTTTCGAGCATCATTAGAATGTTCCAATGTGGCGGTAAGGCGATTCGATTCGCATCACCTAAATGCTTAATTCTATGTTGTTACTTACTGTGTATCTTGTTTTGTCCCATCTTTTTTTTT